TTTCAACTTTTTTTTTTTTAAAGGCAATTCACCCCAAGCAAGGCAGGAGTGTCACTAGCACGCAAGGGTTTACTGAGGATTGAGAACAAGAATAAAGAGGCGCATTTGAGGAAGAGATACAGAGAAGGACAAGGTGTCAGATATTGATTGACATTACACTTGAATATTTGAAGATTATAGTCATCGGGGGAGCAAGTAAGGGGAAGGGAGTTCCACAAACGGGAAGCGCAGGAGAAGAAGCTGTTCGAGAAGAAGAGATGATTATATTTAGCCATTTTGACAATGAAAGCGTGAGACCGAGATGCCAGCCTGGTAGCACGTTTAAATTCATGAAATCTGGGAACCAGTGACAGTAGCTCGTCAGAACAGTTGCCGGGAAAATATTTGTAGAAAAGACAGAGGGAAGCCACAGCACATCTGTGGGATAGCGATTGTAGACTAGATGCCATATCAGGACCTATCATCTTGCATATCCGTCTCTGGATTTTGTCAAGATCCTCAAGAAGTACAGCAGGAGCACCAGATCATATACAACAGGAATATTCCATGCAAGTTTCCATGTTAAGATGGATGGTTGATAAAATAAAGTTTTGCATTTTCTGTACATGTACAAAAAAAACATGAACGTTACTTACAAAAATATAAAAATGCAGGACTTTTTGACATTTTAAATAATATCTTTAGCGAGCACGAAGCACCTGGTAAGTAAACCACGAACGAAGGTGTTGCTGTGATCATTAACAAAAAAACTGGCACCAACATAGCCTACGTAGATGAGGTCACTTACAACCGCTGCATCTTGGAAACTTCCCAGTACTTTCTGAAATTTTCCATTTGTGACAAGTCATGTCAGCACCCGAAAAACTGTCAAACTTTGGAATTTCGGATAAAGTATACACTATATGTACTGTAAAGCTATCGAGCAATGGGAAGAGAATTTTGGAAATTGTGAAAACGCTGACTAAAAATCAAAGAATAAACAAAAAAGAGAAATAAGTACAAGAAAAGTAACGATGACAATTAAGAATGTTTCGAAATGAGATTTGAGAAAAATTAAAAGAAAAAGTAGACAGGCCAACAAAAAAATATTTGAAAAAGCTGTGACAATTATAAACAGAGAAGATGAAAAATCTTCAGACCATATGAAAGCAACCAAGTTACCATCTTTATCGCAAAAAGAAAAAGAAAAAGTTTAAGTTGGATGAAGAAGTATCTGAAAACTGATCTCTCTGTATAAATTTTTACTGCTGAATGTAGAGCTACATTGGTTGGACCTGACGGCTGGGATAAAGTCTACATCCTTCATGAAAATAGTTGATTCCCTTGAGTTTTTTTACCTAGACTATTTTCAGTCAAGAAAGCCCTCCACCCAGCTATACTGCGTTGTTGTCGCACTGCATATTCTGCTAGCAGTTCAGTCTCAAATGCAGATTTTGTCAGCTGCTAGTCGAAAATCACTGTAGTTACCATCTCTCAGGTAAGCTTTCGCCTCCTCAGAACCACTAAACATGGAGTTGCCCACAGAGTTCAGTGACAAGGTGATGAAATAAAAGGAGTTTTGCTGCTGTTTTTTTTTCTTTTTTTTTTTTTAAATTTTGAAATTCGTAATCTGGAGTTCTTTTTTTATATCAATTAAACATTCCTGATTACAAATTAAAGAAAAAAAAGAAAAAATCATTTTCTCTTACATTTTCAGAAGTTATGTCATATGAGCATATTTTGTTTTGGCTTCCATAGAAACAAAGCTTCTACTTTTACTTGAGGTTTCTAGAACACGTAATGAGGAAGGAGGGCTAGGAAAAACTGATACTCACAGGACAGACTGAAAACAAGAGTGACAGAGGAAAACAGTGACTGACATATTTAGCGAGCGTGAGTAAATGGATGGCGGAACAGAGTTTAAGAGAAATAACAGAAAGACAAAATTTATTAAGAGCTACAAAGGACAGGAAGTTGTGGAGAGCAATGATCATCTACTTCCAGAGGGGTCACAGCACATAATAAAGAAGAAAGGGATCAATTTACAATGAAACTGCATCGCAAACTGGATCTCATATTAACTTTTATAAACTTAATTTTTATTCATTTTAAATATTTGTGAGTTAGTGTTTTTAATCTATAGGAATATAAAAAAAATTATTTAAAAAAATTATTTCTAGTCACAGTGCTATCTCACAACTCAACAAACAATTTTTTTTTTAATCTATGCATAATATTAAGTTAATATTCCTAAAATTATCTAGAAAAAATTTATTATACCCTGCTAAGGCATCTCTTTTTTTGCTTAACAAAAAACACTGTAGCTCATATTCTGAAAAATAATCTTTCTTCTCGCAGACTAAACGTATATCAGTTTACTTTGAAAGAAATCTCAAAGAGACTAATTGGAATGCTAAATTCTCCCATATTTGCCCCCTTCTACTTTCAGAAGACCTTGGAAGAAAAAGAAGAAAAGTTTTCAACACACTGCTGTGACTAGGGTTCTCAAATTAAGTAGGACATTAGAGCTTTGGTAATGTTAACAGAGTTTGGAAATATTGAATAACAGAATGAAAAAACTGTTCCATCTCTTCTCGTATGTGCTGTATCCCTTCAGGACATAGGCGATAATGGCTCACCGTAATTTTTGATCTTTTGTAGCCCTTAATAAAGTTTAAAAAAAAAAAAGAAAAAAAATTATTTATATTTTTGACATTAAATTAACTGACCAACATATTTTGGGACAATGATAATTGTAATGGTAATATTAGCCATATCTTTATAACATTCGACATTCATTGACCGAGCAGCCAGTGCTACTTGAGTTACACTTTTCTTCACTCCGTGGACATTGAGCTGGGATCAAAATGTAGTATCTGTTCTTCTCATCTCAAATGTTAATGGTAATATTAGCGGTTTCCTTATAAGGAAACATTCGGCATTCATTGACCAAGCAGCCAGTATTACAAATATATAAAGTTTTCAGGAAAATAGGTTTCTCAAATCCAATAGCTGCTAACACTGTTTCTAGTATTGACAGAGGGTTTCTATCCTAACTTCTTGTTTGAAGTAATATGGAATGTCAACATCTTATGTCATTATTTTCTCTTGAAATTATATGTGCTATCCATTTTAGTTGTTGCTGCTGTTGAAAGTCTTCAAGTGATGTAGTTTCTGTTATCTTTCAGGCAAATTCACAGTATCCTTTTACAATTTTTTTATCCTTGTTCTTTATAAGAAACTGCTTTAGGTTACTTTTGCAGTCTTTCAGGGGATTGAAATTTTTTTCTCACTCCAAGAATTCTCTAAAGACTGGAATAAATGGTAATCCACATGTTTGTAATTAAATGAACCAATCCATTAATTGCTTATAATTTACTTTATTTACATTTCGGGTCCAAAAAATAAATTTAACAGATAAAGACTTTGAATGGTCCCAACAAGAGATGTGCATTTCTTAAATGGGGTAACTGAGTCTTGCTTGAACAGGTAGGGTGAGAAGATGCATCCTTGCCTTACGCCCCAACCTGTTCAACCTATACAGCGAGGCAATTCTGAGAGAATTGGAAACCCTATCGGGATTTAGCATTGGTAGCCGTAATCTTAACACCATAAGATACGCAAATGATATGGTACTGATAACAGACACGGAAAAGAAATTACAAAATCTCCTACAGATGGTAGCGAAAGAGAGTGTGAAGAAAGGACTAAGCATAAACTAGAAGACACAATGCATGTTCATCAGTAAAAAGATGAGCCTGAAATGCGATCTGCAAGTTGGAAACACTAGAATCAAGCAGTCTCAGCAGTTTAAATATCTGGGAAATGTTCTGACAGAGGACAGTAAATGCGACACTGAGATTTGTAGCCATATTGGGATGGCCAAGGACGCATTCCAAATGCTGGGCAGAGTATTGCGAGACAGGAGAATCTCTTTGATAACAAATAAAAGAGTAGTGAGCTGTTACCTGACATCTGTTCTTCTTTACAGCAGTGAATTTTGGACGATTTCCACAAAGATGAAGAAGAGACTCGAGGTGACGGAGATGTGGTTCTACAGAAGGATGCTAAGGATATCATGGACCGAGCGTGTGAGCAACGATGAGCTCTTAGAGAGGTTTTCAAACAAGGAGGAGGTTTATACTTAATATCAGGAAGAGGCAGCTGAAGTTCCTGGGACACATAATGAGGAAGGAGGGCCTGGAGAATCTGATACTCGTGGGTCAAATAGAGGGAAAGAGAGATAAGGGAAAACAACGCATGACATACCTATCAGGCTTAAGCAAATGGATAACAGAACGTGGTCTGGGGGAGTTAGCAGAAGAAAGGAACTTGTTGAGATCTGCAAGGGATAGAAGGAGGTGGAGAACCATGATCGCCTACATCCTGAAAGGACATGGCACATAGAAAGAAAGAAAAAATCTTACTTCCTGTGATTTAATGGTAAAGCACACTTAGCTTAAAAGTTATTTCGCTGAGTGAAAAAGGGAATACAGGTTTCATTCCTGTCAGGAGGTACATTTTTCTTTTCTATGAGCTCTTAATCTCTTGGCCAGTAAACATTATCTCTACTGTTTAAAAAACTGTGATGTTTATTCAAACATATGTACCCATTAAATACAATGTTTATAGTAATAAGATATATCAGGTAAAAATAAAAGCTAATTGCTTATATATTCATGAGTTAATGCCTGTGCACATGTGTGTGTGTGTGTGTGCACGCATGTGTGTGTGTATGTGTGTGTATTGGTTGGTTGTTTATTTAGCTGTATATCAACACCTCTATGGGTTATTTAATCTAAATATTTTGTGTGCAATTTTATTTTGTTTTTGGAGCTAATAATGGTTTAGTGATATAAGCCTTACTAATTAACCCATAGCCAGGGGGAGAAGAGGTGGATTCCTACTTTTCCAAGGGTATTTGTGGATAGCTGAATACAACAAACCCAACTGGAATTGGAAAGGGGCTCTATAATTAACAATTCCAAGCCATTATCTATTACACCATCCACAAATCCAAGCTTACAGCACCTGGTACTCCTAAGTGGTCACCCATCTAGGTACTGACCAGGTTCGATGCAGCTTAACTTCAGTGATCATATGGAAACCAGTGTTTCAACATAGTGTGGCCATAAGCCTGTGTGTGAATATGTGCATTTTTTTTTTTTTTATTAAAGTTGAGTTCAACTCAGTGGAGTTTAGCACAAAGCCACATTTAGAGAAATCTTGAATTTACTATCAATGGTGTGTGAGATAACTATATTATAGTAAAGGACAAAGTTCAAAGAAGAGGTGCAGTCATAACTTTCCCAAGGGTGCTTGCGTGTAAGTGAATATAAGAAACCCAACTGGAACTGGAACTCGAATCTCTGATTAACAATTGCGAGCCATTATACATTACACCACCCACACATCCAAGTTTACAGCACCTTATGTTTTATAAGTTGTTATGATCCAATATCCTCGCACCACAGTTATGGTCCAAGGTTAGAATAAAGGAAGAACAACACGAACTTAAAGAGTAGAATAGCAAAGATATATTACAAAGAAATATAGTACAAGAAGTTGAAGTTAATTTTAATGACTGTCCGTCTGGTTTAATAAATTAACTAATATTGTCAAAAATTTTTCACACCATTCATTCATTATACCTCTTGAAAGGCCAAATTATTTATAGTGTCAGAAAAGAGTCCATTATTAATTATAGGTAAGTTCCCAAAACATAAATTATGCAAAAAACATTTGATAATGTATAGCACAAAGACCTATTTGAACTGTTAGGAAAACTCAATCTACTTGGCAAGGATGTTATAATAATCCAGAACTTATACTGGGATCAAACACCTGCATACAGATAGATAATGAATTGAGTTGGTATACTGTTGTAACCTAGAAAGGGTTACTGAATGAGGAAGAACCAAAACAGAGGTTGGAAATGAAATGGTAATCTTTATAACATCAACAAAATACAATACTCGCCAGCAGCGTGAAGTAGGTAAACCACTGCTAGTAGTGGACTACTTAGACAGCATATTACCTCCATTTACAATAGTGTCCAACTTATTTATGAGGATTGGGACATACCCATTAGTGTTCATATGTATAGTAAATAACGTACACAAAAATAGAAAGGACAATAAGACAAGGATGTGTCTTCTCACTTGATTTTTTTTAACCCCTACAATGAGGCTATCTTAAGGGAGATGGAGACCCTACTAGGATTCATTGCTTGTGGGTACAGATGGCACTTTGTTGATGGCAGACAGGGGGAAAACTACAAGACCTTCTATAGCAGATAGTACAGGAAAGGTAGAAGAAAGGATTAACTATCAAGTGTAAGAAGAATGTATGGTTATCAGCAAAAGAAAAAATCCTGTGAAACAAACTATAGATTGGAGATTTTGTTGATTGTTTTACGAGAATTTTTCAGCAGCCCCTCGTAGATGTACACATAAACAGAATGAAACAATAGGAGAAAAGCTGATTGCATGAATGCAATGCAAAATCAGTCATTTATTTTCTTCCACTCTAATATAATGCTTATATTATAACTATGACAAAATACTTTGTAAGAATTCTCCTGGACAATTCAAAGTTCTTTACTTATTGTTTGGTTCAGTTCATTTAGCAACATATCAATGGGTTATTTAATGCCGACATCTAAATAATTTTGTACACAAATTTTTTTTTTTTTATTTGAAAACAATAATGATTCTAATAATACAAGTCATACTAATTAACCCATAGCTGGGGGAGAAGAATTGTATTAATTGCAGAGTCAGTTCAGTTGCTTATGTGATATATGCTTGGGTGATCATATCACTTTCAATTCATGACCAACTAGGCAGAGATTTTCCTACAGTAGGTTGCCATTTCTTTCTGCAGTAGACTGGTTGCCAACCAAGGCTATAGGGTCTAGTCTGTCCCACTATTCAACCCATAGCTGGGAGGAAAAGAGATGGAGTGATACTTTTCTAAAGTGTATTTGTGAAAAAGTGACTGTAACAAACCAAACTGGAATAAGTCTGGGAAGTGTTTTAACAGACAACACAAAATGTGATACTGAAATCCGAATGCATATTTGGAACAGCGAAAGATGCGTTCCAAAAGCTAAGCAAGATATGGGAAAATTTTGTTGGGAACAAAGAAAAAGTGATCAACTATTATGTAATATCAATGAATGCTGGGTAATATCCTCACAGATGAAGAGAAAACTGGAAGCAACAGAAATGTAGTTCTACAGAAGGATACTGAGAATACCTTGGATGGAGCATATAAGCAACAAACAAATCTTAAGAAAAACAGAAGCAAAAAATGACACCTATACTCAAATTCAAAAAGAGATATCTGAAATTTCTTGGACACATAATGAGGAAAGAGGGCTTGGAGAATTTTACACTCACATGAATTATTGAACGCAAAAGAAAAAAAGAGAAAGTAACAGGCCACTTAAATGATGATCTTGTGTAAATGGATGGTGGAACAGTTTATTGTAGGCTTAGAAAGGGCAAATGTTTCTAAGTGCTCCAGGTAATAGAAGGCTGGGGAGAGCCACGATCGCCCACGTCCTGAAGGGAGATGGCACATAGGAGAAGAATCTCGATAACAACATACATACCAAGACCTTTCATAAATTTACCAACACACTCAAGTGTGATGTTATGCGACAACAGGGTGGAGGCACACATCAGGTGTCTGGTGGGGGAGGTGAAAATTGATGTTTTAGTCACAATCATTCTTTTCGTTCATCCATGGTGTACAGTGAATGACACAAAATGTTGAGTCACAGGAGTCTTCATCGGTCGGGCGAGTGGGGTTGTCATGGCAACTGCCAGGGCCCAACTTATTGATTCATATTAACCCTCTCTCCTTCCCCAACAAAGAATGTGTGAAGACTGGAGCTAAATAGAGAGAAAGAAGAAAAAGTACTAGTGACGGGCCAAGCAACTGACAACTTGGTTAAAAATGCGTCAGCCTCATCTTATTTTAAAGTCGTTTGTTCATTATCTAGAGGCGGGATAGAGTGTGAGACACGGACTCTAAGGATCCGGATACCTGTAGCTATCTGCGCATTTTCAGCTAGACCTGGACGTAAAAAAGAAGAGGTGTGGCAGAAAGAGCATGTGACAGAGAGTAAGAAGTAGAAATTAAACTCAGGGTAGAAAATGTGATACCGATGTGTGAATGTATATTGGAATAGAGAAAGATGCTTTCCAAAAGCTAAGCAAGATAATAATAAAATTTTGTTGGAAACAAAGAAAAGAATCATCAACTGTTATGTAATATCAATTCTTGTATTACAGTAAATGCTGGATAATGTTTTCACAGATGAAGATAAAACTGGAGACAACGGAAAAGCAACTGACAACATGGTTAAAAATGCATCAGCCTCATCTTATTTTAAAGTCATTTGTTGATTATCTAGAGGCGGGATAGAGCATGAGACATGGACTCTAAGGACCTGGATACCTGTAGTTATCTGCGCATTTTCAGCTAGAGCTGAAAGGTTGTAAAAAGAAGAGGTGTGGCGAGAAGAGCACGTGAAAGAGAGTGAGAAGTAGAAATTAAACTCTGAAAGAGAAAGTGAGGATGATAGGTTATACTGTCAGAGGTGAAGGAAGAAGAAAAAAAAAACAAAAGGGTGATACAGAGAGCTGTGAAAGAGAAAAAGCAAGTGTTTTGAAAAGGGTGGCAGGTAGAGTTAATAAATGATATTAATAGAGAGAAAAAAAAGGGGAAATAGAGAGGGTGGTGTATCAAAAAAACAAAAGAAAGACAGGGAAAAAAGATAAAGAAAGGAAATAAGGGAGGAAGTGTTAGTGAGAAGGTTAAAAAAAAGAAAATAGGATATAAACATGAGATAGGGGTGCTAGAAAAAGAAGAGGAATAGACAGAGAAAGAAAGAGAAAGGGGAAGAAAGTTATAGAAAAAGATAAGGGGGGATGAGAAAGTGTTAGCAAGAGAGAGAGAGAGAAAAAGAAAAGATTTACAATGAGAAGAGAAAAAAAGAGAAAGAGACACACATAGAGGAAGAATGATAAGAAGAGAAATGTGAATGAGCCAAAGAAAAAAAATGATAGGAAAGAATGAGAGATGGAGAGAAAAAAAAAGATAGAATGATTAAGAAAGAAAATAAGAAGAAGAAAGGAAAAAGGTGGAGAAAAAGGAAAGGTAGAGAGAGAATGAAAGAGATAAAAAAGAAGAAACAGAAGAGAGAAAATTACTGATATAAAGATAAAAAGAAACTGATAGAAAGATAGAGAGACAGAAAGAAAGTGAGAGGTTGATAAAATGAGAGAGATAATGATAGAAAAGAAAGAAGAATATGAAAAGAAAGATGAAAAAGTTGTAAAGAAGAGAGATGAAAAAAATGAAGGGAAGAAGAGAAACACACAAAGAGAGAAAAAAAAGGAAGGGAAAAAGTAATGAGAGAAAGGGGAAGGGAGGGAGATGAAAGATGAATGGAAAAAGAAAGTAGCATAAAATACAAAAGAGAAAGGAAGAAAAAAAAAGGAAGAGAAAAAGTAATGAGATAAAGAGGAAGGGAGGGAGATGAAAGATGAGTTGGAAAAAGAAAGTTGCATACAGATACAAAGAGAGAGAGGAAAAAAGGAAGAGAGAGAAAAAAGGAAGAAAGAGAAAAAGTAATGAGAGGAAGGGAGGGAGATGAAAGATGAATGGAAAAAGAAAGTTGCATACAGATACAAAGAGAGAGAGGAAAAAAGGAAGAGAAAAAGTAATGAGAGAAAGGGGAAGGGAGGGAGATGAAAGATGAATGGAAAAAGAAAGTTGCATACAGATACAAAGAAAGAGAGGAAAAAAGGAAGAGAGAGAAAAAAGGAAGAAAGAGTAACAGAAATGAGAGAAAGAAGAGAGAGGAAACGAAAGGAGAGATGAAAGGGATTAATAGTAGAGAGAAAGACAAAGAGAAAAGGGGAGAGAAAGGAAAAGGAAAGAAAATAAATGAAGGAAAAGGAGTGAAAGAGGAAGAGAAAGAAAAAGAAGATGAAAGAAAGGGAAGAGGAAAGAAAAGAAAAAGGTTAATAGGAAGAGAAAAGAAGGAAAGAAAGAAAAAGAAAAGAGGAAAGAAATGAATGAAGAATTGGAAAGAAACGAATAGAAAAACACAAAGCTACAAAAAGAGAGATGAAAGAAAGAGAGTGATGAAAGGGATGAATGGAAAAAAAAAGGAAGAACCAGACAGAAAGTCACAAAGAGAGAAAGAGAGTGAAAAAAAAGAGGAAACAGAGTGAAATAAAAGAAGAAGAAAAGTAAAGAAAAGAAAAGACAGATGAAAGAGCTAAATGGAAAAAAAAAGAAAGAAGCAGACAGAAAGACAAAGAGAAGGAGAGTGAAAGAAGAAAGAGGAGGGAAAGAAAAAAAAGAAGAAAAGCAAGGAAAAGAAAGGATAAATGAAAGCGATGAATGGAAAAAAGAGAAAGAAAGACAGAGAGAGAGAGAGAGGGGGGGGAGAGAAAGAAAGAAAAAAGAAGAAAAGATAGATGAAAGAGATTAATGGAAGAAAAGAGAAAGCAGCAGACAGAAAAGCACAGAGAGAAAAAAAGAGGAAATCGAGAGAAAGAAAAGACGAAAAGAAAGGAGTGATGAAAGAGATGAATGGAAAAAAAAGAAAAAAACAGAAAGACAGAGAGAGAAAGAGTGAGTGAAAACAAGGAAAGAGATGGAAAGAAAAAAGAAGAAAAGCAAAAAAAGAAAGGATTGACAAAAGAGATGAATGGAAGAAAAGACAGAGAGAGAGAGAAAGATTAAAAGAAAGACATGGATATTATGAAGGGATATTTCTACAGAAATAGTCGTACCTCCAATTCAATTCTTTTAAAACAAGCATGTACACCAAAGTCATAGAAGACATAGCAGTAACTCAGTACATTGAACAGTAGCAATGATTTGGTCATATTCACCAATCATCCATTTTAGACTCTCACCAAAATAATTTATTATTCTTACTATTATTAGTATTATTATCATAAATCTCTCTGCATTAATATTATTCGCTAGGTGTCACTAAAGAATACTAGTACTTTTCGCATTATTCTTATGACGGTAAATAGCATTTTCAACATTTTTATTTGTTCAAGCTTGAATGTGACTAGTACTCTGACAATTATAAGGATTACCTTTAGTCTCTTGTTACATAGTAGTTAAGTAAGATCTTTTAAAATGTTTTCTATTTTTCTCCTTGAAGTACCCAAATATATGACCTACCCTGGCTTTTTCTTTTGTTCCCACATCACCGAGAATTAGGTTCTCTTAGACGGGATGTGCATTATGGCGTCATGGAAATCAGAGAACCAAGTTCAAATCTCATTCAAGTCCACAGGAGAAAGAAAATGTTAACCTACTGGGTGGGGGAATCTTCTGCCTAGTCAGTCATGTATCAAAAGACACATGATCACCTAAGTATGTATCACGTATGGCACTTAACTGGACTGACTCGACTGGATTGATCAAAGTGACATTTTTTTTTTTAATATCGAGATAAAGAAAATTTGTATGTAAAAATCCTAAATAACCGTAAAAAAAACAAGAATTTATGGTTTTGTTTTTCATCTGATACAAGATTTTTCTTTTAATGTACTGTTATGCCTTCAGGACATAAACAACCATGGCTCTCCACAACTTCCTATTCTTTGTAGATTTAAATGATGTTTGTCCCACTACTATCCATCTCAGTCCTTTTTTTTCTGCCGCTCATTTATGTAAGCTCATTAAGTATTTTATTGGCTGTTATCCTTTGTCTTTCTTGCTTTCAATGTCTTGTGAGTATCAAATTCTCCAAGCCCTCCTTTCCTATTATATGTCCAAGAAATTTTAATTCTTTCTGATCCTAAGTATGAGCGTCCTTTTTGTTTTCATTTTCCTTGTTTCTCCCATTTTCCATCCATGATATTCTCAGCATCCTTCTGTAGAACGACATTTCTATTTCCTCAAGTTTTCTCTTAACCTATGATATTCACTGCCATATAGGAGGATTGATATTACATTGAAGTTCAGTACTCTTTTTATTTTTTCTAATGAACTTTTCCTGTTTCTTATTACTTTGCTTAACTTCTGGAAGGCAACTTTTGCTGTTCTGATGTGCCTTTGGATTAAGGCACCACGTTTTCTGTCCTCTATTAAAACTCTTCCCAGACATTTAAATTCTTGTACTTGCTCGATTTTGGTATTTCCAATTCATGGCTTTACAAAGAGAAGAGAAAAAAAGAGAGACACACATAGAGGAAGAATGATAAGAAGAGAAATGTGAATGAGCCAACGAAAGAAAGAAAATGATAGAAAAGAAAGAGAAATGGAGAGAAAAAGAAAGATAGAATGATTAAGAAAGAAAATAAGAAGAAGAAAGGAAAGGTAGAGAGAGAATGAAAGAGATAAAAAACGAAGAAACAGAAGAGAGAGAAAATTACTGATATTATAGAGATGAAGAGAAACTGATAGAGAGAAGGAAGAACAGAAAGTGAGAGATTGATAAAATGAGAGAGAAAATTACTGATATTATAGAGATGAAGAGAAACTGATAGAGAGAAGGAAGAACAGAAAGTGAGAGATTGATAAAATGAGAGAGAAAATGATAGAAAAGAAAGATGAAAAAGATTCTGTCTTCTTAGAATTGATGCTTAGTCCTTTCTTCTTGCTTTCTTTTCCTACCTTCTCGAGCAGTTCCTGCAGTTTCCTTGCTATCCCATTCTTCCTTTGGATTTCAGTTCTTTCACATTCCCTGTCTTCTGATAAGATACTTCCAAGATATTTAAATTTTGTTCTTGCTGGATTGTTTACCGCCTGGAGAAGACTATGGCTCATAGAAGCAAAATATATTTGGCAACTAAATTTTCTTTACTACTACCAACATAAACTCTTAAAAAGGAACAATCCAAGACTGAATAGATCTTCTCTTGTCATAACCACTTTTTTTTTCTTTTGACAAATGTTCAACCAATACAAAACTCTGAGAGCCACTCAAGGTAGAAGATTACTGACTGAGGTCATTGTATAAACATAAGATGAGGAAATAAGTGTAGATAATGAGGATATGTAGGATAAATAACATTTAGCGGCAATACATGATATTAGAATACCATAACTGTATTAGTATACTATTAGTGTACCTATGCTGTCAAAGTGACAGCAAGAAGGAATGTATTATAAGTAATATGTATTATATTGTAAGTAATTTTCATTTAATCCAAGTACAATTTTGTAATTTAAAATAGTTTGTTGTTAATATTAATAATTAAACAGTGTATGATTGATAAACATCTAAGGAAAGACATCCATATTATATCCTCATAAATGTTACATATTTACGACCAAAATTATGTTTACTGCAAAAGTTTCCAAGGCACAGTATTTTTTTGTATAAACTTTTGAAGGTCTGAGTAATCCATGACAGTCCACTGATTCAATATGTAATTTCAGAGTCTGCTTATTTCTCATCCTACTAAGCTCAACGTATCATCAGATATTTTCTTTAATTTATTTTTTGGGGTTCCCCACCTCCTTTTTATTTTTAATTATCATTTTTAAAGTTTAAAATGAATTTATAAAAATGAACAAAGTATCCTTGAAGATATATGTGGGTTATTATATATACGGTCATCGTTATTTTGCACACTGCCTCTCAATTGTTATACACAAAAAACGAAAATATATATATATACTGTACTCGTTTCGAAAAACCTTTGAATTTTTGATTTGCCAATAATCAAATCAATCTCGAGGGTAAAAAAGGTTTTAAAAAAAGAAAGAGCTAGAAACATGAAAGTCTGTCGAAAAAAATCGCACAGATACAGGTTCAAAGCCCAAAGAAAAAACGCCCGACACAAGTAAAAAACTAACTAAAAAGAGCTCAATACAACCGTAGAGCAGACCTTTCGAGACATGTATAGTTACCTATATTTATAAAGCTCTAGGTTACTCTATTGAGCAGTTTTAAATCAACTAATATGGTGACAATGACTTTATATATAAATATATATATATATATGGCATGTAGGAGGAACGGTGGAGTAGTGAATAGTGGCTTGGATTGAAGAATCCATTACATTCACTTAAATACTAATACCCTTGGGAAAGGTATTAATCCTCTTCTTCTCTCTCCAGCTATGGGTAAATAGCAGGACAGACTGGGTTCTATAGCCTTGGATGGCAACTGGTCTAAGAGAAAGACAACTCTGAATTCAAAACCTGCAGAGGGTCGTTTGGGGACCTTGTGGCAGGTAGTGCACCAGGTCTCTGTATTCAGCCCTTCAAAAAGTGTGGTTGGTTCTGCACAAAGCCTTCACCGCTATAATCAAATTATATGTGCTAGTGTCTGGCAGTCGGTTCCTAGGAACTGAGCTGTTTGACCCTCATATGTCAAATACGACAGGAGAGTCTACCATAGATGGTGTATTATATATATAAATAACTGTCGTTATATTTTATGCACTAAATGTAACAACTATTTTGGGAGAGAGGCATTACAATATGTCATTATAAATAACAATTGACCCAAGGCTTGAAGATGTAGTCATCAGGGAAGCAAAGTTTTTTCCACAAGATAGCAGTGGAAATTCCTTCTTACCAAGGAATACAAAGGCACTGAGAATTATTCAATTCTATATAAGTGGAATGGCAGGTCCATAAAGGTCTGAACTGGGTGAACTAAGGAATGTAGTTTATTTGAACATTTGCCATGGAAATAGTGATATAAATGTGATAGGCTTACAATGCTTCGTCTGTTGAGAGAGAGGTAGTAGGGTTGATTGGTTGTTTTATGGCATATCAAAACCTCAGTGGGTCATTTAATGTCAACAAAATTTTTTAAATAGATTCATAGCGATAGTTTGGTAAAAAAAAGTGTGTATGTATATATATATATTTGAACTATTTTTCAATTACTCATATTTTTGAGTACAATCCAACTTCTTTTAGGAAATTTACAATCTTGGATGGTTTTATTTTTGTAAAAAGTTTTTTTTTTTTAAATTACTCATTTGGTAATATTTTGTTCGCACTAGATCA